AATCGAACCCAAGGATACCTGTGGCGTCAGTGTGCCAACCGAACAGAGCATTTTTTTTCAGTAAATTCCGCCACTATATCGTCGCTGGTACTTCGTGACTACAAGACGGAGAAATCTGAAATTGAGATGTGTTATATATCTGATGTATCTGGTATGATAGTTGACTGCTTTTGTTTAAAAACCTAAAATCGAATATTTAAACTGTAGAGTTAGGTCACCTTGCTGACCAAAGGAATTGTTTTTTTTTTAAATTTGTTTTAATTAAAAATCTAATGGATAACAGCTGCTTTTGTTTTGATTATTAAAATAATAAAATATGTCCAATAAATATGACACGCACGCGAAATTCGATATTATGTTCTTAGAATTTTGGTTATAGCAAATACCACGGCGCCACGGTTTTGGTCATTAGGTACTCATTTCTGTGTTTCATCACAGGCACGGCTGAATGAATTATTTTAATACACTTGTTTCAAACAAGTTTTATAAAACTTACAAACTCCTTCAGAATTCGGATGAGAGTATTTTTTTTTTTACTTAACAATATTAATTTTCAGAAGACAAATTAAATAATTTGATTAAGTTAACGAATCAGTGTTAATTGATAGAATTCCAAAACTGAATTAAAGGGCTTTATTTATAAATGAAAAGTTGAAATAGTTAAAAATTAATTGAAATTAATATGCTCATACTCATAGACTTAACATTTTTATCAGTTCCGTGGACGATGTTATAGAAGAAAAATGTATTTATTAAAAAAATAAATTATTATTTATGAATTAACTGACGCTCGATGGGTAATTTTTACAGAACTACCATACATATATTTAAATTTTATAACACAATAATGACAAATATTTTGTAATTGTTGAACTGTATTAGTTTATATTGTAAGTTCTAATAAACAAAAAGTGACAAATATATATAAGTTTTAATTTATTATCATCATTATAATTAGGTACCTAAGTATAAATATATTCATTATATATTTAATATGTAGTGCAAGATTTGATCCTTCGAATACAATTATTGTGATAGACGACACTAAAAAAAAAATCAGTTATATAATTTCCTACCAATCGTCTTTTTAATCTATTTTTATATTTTTATTTGTATAAAAATAATGACAGAAAATATAATTACAATTTTCTAAATATATATCTACATGGTTACATGTATACTATTTTGTTATTTGAATAGACATTTAAAATCCATCCAAAACTTAAGGAAACATTCTTTATGTTTTATTTTGGCTATAGATGGAAATTCTAGTTAATTTATAGAAAATTAACTTTAATACAATTTGCATTTTTGAAATTATTATTATGCAGCTATATATTACTACCATCCATTGTTCTTATTGTTCTATTTTTTATGTAACGATTGAATGAAAACCTTATGAACCAAAAAGAAAAAAAAAATATTATGTAGCCATGTACTTTACTATTCATGTTATACATAGGTACATAACAGGCACGAATTCAGAGCAAATATCTGGGGGGGGGGGAGAGCCTTCAATTTTTTTGTTAATGTAAGATTACAATATTGGAAGCACTGTCCACCATGAACTGAGATATTTCTATCTTAGTTTGTGCTTCCCAGAATGATGAGTATAAAAATATATTATATTATCAGACATACATGTAATTTAAAGTATAGTAATATCAGGATCTGAAGAATTATTGAAAAATTTGGGACATAGTATGTCTGGGGGGAGATGGGCTGGGCCCTTAGCCCTCCCCCTGGATCCGTTCCTGGAACATAATACATACGGTTGGGTTCCACTTTATCGGGTTTCTTGCATCTAAACATCTTACAAGTAACAGCAATGAATTTATTTATCCGTATTCATGGTTAAATGGTTAAAACTACGACCGTATGCAAGGGGGTGGGTATAGGCGTGGGCTTCAGATCCCACCGTGGCTTTTTTAAAGATTTTTTAAAAAAGGTTAAAAATATAGTAGTGTTGTCCATGTTCATAAAAAATGTATTTATTTAATTATAATATTATATAAGTACATATTTCATGTATTATAATACATCTATTGTGGCTGTCTGCAAATTTGATGTAGGTAATAAAAGCAGAGATGCTCTCACTAGGTGTTAAGGTGAGTGAAGAACAAGGGTTGCCATAAAAGTTCTAAATCAGTAATCTCAAAAAAAAAAAATGTATCATAGTTAGATTAGGTTGATTAAAATGATAAAAAAATAAAGTACTTAAACAATCTTTTGTAAGATATATTTATGAATATTATGATAATACAACATAATTGTTACTTACGAAATACCACGAGTCATGACAAAACTAAGATGATTTGACAATAGTTAGAATAGAAATTTCAAAAATTTCAAATGTTTATTTTGTTATAGGTTTTATTTGTAATAAGATTATAGATACGTGTATTTATGAGTACATATACATGATACATCAGCATTTTAGACTGCCCTGCCTAGTTATTGTTTGTCGTCCAATTTCCGATGGTGCGCGGTGACTGCTATACGATGTTGAGATCCATAATTGTAAATTCATATGAAGCTATACAATTGCAGGATGATTAATATTTTTTACTTTTTATACAGTCACGTACACCCGTATTCGTATTTCGTATGGACTGCAGATTAACATTTGAGAAGAATGTTTGTAAAATGGTTAGGTATAATGTATTTATAGCTATTATCTACAGTTCGACATTAAGCTAAAAACTATATACAGCAATATTGAAAAAAAACAAACCAATCATTGACCGTCACTAAATATATAATAAAGTTTAAAGTATGTCCGAATAAAAATAATAATACTATGTATATCTTAATTTAACAATGAGATTAGTTAAATGTAATATTGTACATATAGTCATAGCTCATAGGTCTGTATAAACATTGTAGATACATAAAGCTAAACATGGTCTAAGTAATATAATTTAAATAATATGTATAACTTATTGTATGATTAGGTATCATAACATTATATGGTATCTATTTTAAATGACTATACACATGCGAGACTGAAATGAAAAACAGTTTATAATGTTGTCAGTTAAAATATAATATGAATTTCACTTGGTTTAAAGTAATTTAACTTACCCGTACTCTCTCATTTCTGGGATACTTTGATTTATTTGCTACTTTTTTTTCGGTTTTCTCATTAATAACCAACATGTTTTCATTTTTTCCTTCTTTTTCTATCGATTCATCATTTATACTTGAGATTTTTGCTTCCTCTACAAAAACATGAATATTACAATGTTTGGTTGATATACGTGGCAGGTATGATATTATAACAGTATAATACATTAATACCATATTTTTAAAGGATAATATTAAATTTATTATTATTATCATTATAACTAATCAAATCCAGAAAATACGAACAATTTATATGATGCAATATTATATGTGATATCAGAAAACAATATTTCAATGGTAAACTGATGAAAAAAAAATATAAAATGTTTCCCTCTAAAATCATTGCTAAATAATAAATGCAGTCTACACTTCCACAGGTCGTTAAAAAAAAGTAGCAACTTAAAAAATATATTATTTTTTCAAAACTTTTTTTAATATGATTTAAAATTATGTAAAATTAACGTTTTTAAAAATATTTATAGTTTTTGAAATAGGTAACAAATGTTCTTCGATAAAAGAATAAACTATCTGGTAGATATAATATAATCATTGTTTTATTAATTAATTTATTAACAAATAAATAAACAACATTATTATTGTCAGAGATGGTGGAAAAGGTGAGTAATGTAACATCAACCAATTGACAATTTTTTTAATGTAAATTAATGCTGCTAATGCTAGTAACCTAAGTTATAACTTTTTAACTTACGAATATTTGTTATTTTATTTTGTTTATTATTTGCTATTATCAAGTTCAAATATCCTATATAATTTTTATAAACATTTCTCCTACTAAAAATAATTTAATTAACCCGACACAATATTGAAAAATAAAATAAACAATAAATTGTACCATGTTCTAAAAATATTTGTGATTATAATAATATATATATAGTTATCATAATAATATATATATAGTTTACTTGGTGTCTTATCATTGAATGATTTTTTATCCTCATTAATTTGTTGATCAATCTTATTATTTGTGTTGATTTCCTGATAATTTTAATAAAACAAACAATACTGTACATAATCATCGAAAATAAAACTTAGTCGTACCATTGATTTTATTCTAAAATCAATGGTCGTACCTAAAATATACTATATAGGTATAGCATTACTTTTGCACTTTCTTTGACTATGATCAATACTTCAAGATCATTATCATTGGCTGGAGTAATCGACGTGAATGGTTCAATATTCTCTTTTCGCTCTTCGATTATCTTTTTCACAACCCTTAATGGAGGCAACGAGTCGGACGATTTGATTTGTTGTGAGCTATTATTGGCGTTTTCGCTTTAGAGAGGCTCGGCGTGTATTAAAGTATGATTTCCTCCACAACTCACCTATAAAATTATTAAAAACACCGATCCCTGGTATATTTAAATCATTTGTTGATATCTATGAATTAATAACATACCATCTGTACGTTTAAATTTTTATCTACGAACGCTAACACGAGCGTTGGAGTTGTTATTTGATTGACATCTATGCAGAGTTTTCCGTATTTTCCGTCGCCACACATAAATAGTTTACCACTGGCTGAGACGATAATTAAATAATATATTCGATTAAATTAGTTAAACTAGTCATAAAATATAGAGTGATTGAATGAAAAAAACATACAAAATTGAATTACAAAATATTTTAAAAACTATCGACATTGTATTAGTGTAAACTTTTGCATGCAGTAGTTCAAATGCTCAATAATTCAGAATTTGAGATAAGATTATATATAATTAAAATTCTTGAATTACTTGTACCGCATAGTAAAATATTTTAGCTTAAATAGTCACACTACTAAGTACCTAATAATTATTAAAATAATATCCATAAAATGTATAGCATATACAAGTTAGCGTGTTGTAGAATTTGCACTCTGCGGGCTTATTATTTTTTTATTGTTAAGTATAGTCAATATATTGTCAGTTAAAAATACCAATGTTCTTACTTCTTATAAACACACACTTGCAAAGGAAAAAATTGGGAAACTGGCTCTGCTCTATACGTAATAGTGTACGCCTATCCACTGACCCTTCTTACACAATTTGACTTTATCGTACCTATCTTGTAAATTTTGTTTGCAATCCTTTAACACATGTTACAACTTTTTATTGTGTAATTTTGTTCTTATATACTACATGCTAATTGTTCCTATTGTTATGCAGATTGTACTTTCATTATTGAGGGCCTTGACCGTTTATATTAATAAAACAAAATTAAAATAATAGATTTCGAGTGTATATTATAGGTCACTGTAATGACTAATGAGTATCGACTAATTTATGTGTTAAATTAATGATTAATGATTAATTGTATATTTGAATATGAAAAAAAGGTTTTAAGCGAAGGTCGGATGGATTAGCATCTACGGATAGTTTTTTTTATATATATTATATTATAATAATATTTTATTAGTTGGTAGTTTCAACTGATTTTTGAAAAAATATCAAATTTAATTGGAGGTGCCATATTAGAATAGGTTCGTGGTATTAATAGCTTAAAATTAGTTGAAATGTTTTAAAAACATTATATTGTGTATATAAAAAATAATAATACATTATACTAAGGGAATGTCGGAAAGTTTGAAGTAGTGAGATTAACATTTTAATACAAAAATCGTTCGTGAAAAAAAAAATTGTTTTTTGATTGAATATCTAATTTCGACGACATTTAAACTTCTAATTTCAAACAATAATTGTGCATAATATGTATTCTGGAGACTCCGTAATCACATCACTAAATTACAGTATATTAAAAATAAAAAAGGGTAGAAAAATGTTATTTAAATCGAAGCACATCGTGTTACCTATAAAGTTGCATAATATGTAAGTATTAATTATTTACCGGTAATAAAAGCACTGTGGCTCTGGCCGCACACAATCTGAACGATCGGTTCGTTGGTAATTGGACAAGGGTACAGATGACCTTGTGAAGTGACGCTTCTTAGACCTATTTGTCCACAGTCGTTGTTACCGCAAACGAACACTTTTCCCGCGTCTATGAGGTCAGTTTGACATTGAAATAATAATTAATAAAATAAGCGTTTGTGTGTATAATTTCAAATTTGTGTAGGTATTATAAACGTATGTTATGTTTTATATCGATCGACGACACGTTGTAGTTATGGACGATTTGTGTACGGTTAATAGTGATGATTTTATTTACCGTTCAATGCGATCGTGTGGTTAGCCCCGCAAGCGACTTTTACTATCTTTTCAGTCGTGTCAACCCTGCTAAGTGACCACTGGCCATGGCCAAGTTTTCCATATTCTCTATCACCGCACGTATACAAATCCCCGATTCCTGAAAACCACCACCATTATAATAATATATGATAATAAATTGTACTATATTAATAACAAACATAATATAGCGAATATAATATAATACCTATTATAGAGATGGCAAATCGGCAAATTATACCACCCAGGTAAATTCACGTTAATCTAGTTAATTTTACTGATATTCTGTTTACCATTCCTAAAATTTAGTGATTCCATATTTCAATCATTTTCACACACACAATAACCTTATGTTAATATTTTTTATTTGGTTCACAAGTACAGGTAGATGTGTAACGATTAATATTATTCAAAATGTAATTTAAGTAAAATAAATATTAAAATAATATGCATGTTAGTATACTTACAATACACTGTTTACACTTTACAGTATCACAAAATATTCTTATTTATTTATGCAAATATTCTATTATTGCACATTTGCACTTAAAATGTATTTAGTAAAAATACCATTCACTAATACTTATAAAAAAAACTTAACATAAATTTACCAAAAAAATGTTTAGGGTAAAACTCTCATCGGCCGTTAGTATTTTAATATATAACTATTTTTGTCATGCCTCCACCTTATCGGCAAACTTTAAGTTCAAACTTCGTCTCAAAAACAAAATACCTAACCATAAAGTTATTATAGCTCCTACATCTTGTCATATGGCATCTAAATCTGGGGCCAAGCAAAACCATAAAATATTCGCCCACCGGAAGCATTTCAAGAAATTAGTTTATCTGAAAATAATTACTGGATACTCATGCCCCATGGTTAGGTTGTCCATGTGTCTAATCTAAATTTACACAATGACCTACATATCCCCACACTCAAAGAGCAAGCTCATAAATACTAAATAACAGAATAACAGTTTTCACAACAAGATTACAAATCACAAGAATCTTCTTATATCCCAACTGTCCTCTTTAACCATCCCAGGAAATCATACTAGAAGGCTAAAAAGAAACTGGCCAAGAGACGCTTAAACATAATAAATTAATAAATATTACTTTTCACTTAAAATAAAAATAAAAAACTATTATATTATACTTTAGAAATGCCATTGTAATGGGGTTTATCTCCTTTCTCATTTCTTCATGTATATTTTCATTATTTATTTTATTTTGTCATATTCATATAATTAACTTATTATAATATGCTGTTATTAGTAGAGATTGGGGTGCGCCCCGTACACGCTTCCTCGCAGTGCACCCTGGTAACAATTGATACAATTTTATTTTGTCAATTGGCTAAAGTATACGGACCCTTGGTTGGTGGACTGTGCTTCTAGCATCTCCCACCTACTATGCAAGCGAACAATCGGCATCGGCATAGTAGAGATTATAAATAATCTTAAAAATAATAAAAATAAAAAAAAACAGTTTTTGTCAGGTTCAGACGTATAGCTAAAAGTTACAACAATAACAAACTTAATATATATTTATACTAATGACTAACCAGAAACTTGACTTGCAGCCAACTCACAGTGGCGCTACTAGGGGGATGTTCGAACATGTAATACAATAGCACCCTAAACTTATAATTAACACTCAAATTCAATTGGGAGACACGCCCAAGTCTCTTTGACTCCCGTAGCTATAAGATCGTCTTATGATTTTATACCTAGTGCACCCTGCGAAATTTCGTCACCTACAAGAGTCTAAAACTGTACTCCATAGCATTTGTGATGCACCACTTCGCTTGTCTAAATTTAAATTCGTATAAATATGAATAAAACTAAACCCATTCGTTCGAAATGTATGTGCAAAAACTTTGGGGAAGTTTTTCAGTACGAGTTGTGTTAAACAGTTACAAAAAATACATGTTTTCATTTAATAGTATTGATGGTGCTGGTTTGAAAACAAAATGAAATAACGGAAACACATACAATTTTATAACTCCGATGGATAATCATATAATTGTATGAACCATCAAAAGAAAAATGTCCTACTAGGTATGGTTCATTACTTACTCGTGACGAACGCGGTGTGAGTGTGTCCACAGGATACGTATACAACGGGCAGGGCGATCGGCACGATGGTGGGCACACTGACGTTGACCGAATCTTCGTTCATCGAGTTCAGTCCCAGTTGTTTGTCGCTGTTCGATCCCCAGACGTAAACGTCTCCGTTTTCTGACGGAAACCGAAAACGAGAACAAAAGTACAGTTTTTTATTGGATAATAGTACCCTTCGTAGGAGGACTTAATTTAGGGCGAGACCTATTATCGATCTCTTACGGTTACGCTTTTCGAATACATTATAATATAACCCACTATAGGTCGTAATGTGTCATGTGTGGATGTGGGAATCTTAATGTGTTTACGAATTTTGAATCACTTTTAGCATTTAGTTTTTTGGGCGGGAGGTTTAAGCGGATAGTGGTATCAATAGGATTTAATAATCCAACTGCACAGGCCTAGATATATACGAATGGACTGATAGCAAAGAGGCCTCCAGGCTCCAATACTATATCTAATAATAGAGAGAGAGAGAGAGAAGTTCAACAACAAAGATAACAATGTGTTTGGAAAAAGATATCATAGACACAGGTATTATATGCACACATTTTAACTACCTATTTCTTTCTAACAACGTAGGCATTAGGCAGCCGTACGAAGTTTAGGGGATTCACAGTCCATATATTAATATCTAATAATATGTCTATAGATTGAACCCTATGTCCACATATGCGTCGATCTATATGTATATATATAATATTACTATTGTTAATATATGAAAAAAAATAAGACCTATGAGGACCGCCGTGTGATACGATCCAGCAGATAGTTGAATGATATTCTTATCGTTGAAACGGGTAACTTCGATGGGCACATCGCTGTATGTCACGTCCGCCACCGATTGTCCGAGTTGGCCATCGCTGTTGTCGCCAAATCCGTAAACGATGTTATTCTCTGACGAACAAAAAGATAATAGTTCTCACAAGACAAAAGTACAAAATCAATTAAAGATTATCGCAATGCTTATGATACAAATATTAATATTTAATATATAAATATTGTTATTAATCATCATCCATACGACCATACTACAACTAAAACAACGCTACTTCAACACTCAAAATGTAATGATGTTTGGAATTTATTTCTAGTATTTCTAATATTTTCTCGGATTATCTGGTATTTATTGTACTTCACTGATTGTTTTATGTAGAACATATTATATTGTAATAATAATTATAATATTTATCGTTTATGACTTTATGTATTATCCGGTTATATATTATGCATATACATCGATTTTCAATATATTATTTTTGAAAGTGCTAAATATATAATATAATATATTAGGTTGAAATATTTTTAACTGCTATCAGTTTGATCTCAAATATAAGTTACCTAATTAATAGTTTAATTATTAAGCTACATTTAAAAATATCTAAACATCTCAGTCAATGTTTTTAAAAGCATTTCAACTTTGAAGCTCAGTGCATTTTTTTAAACTTTTTGGCGTTATTTATTTTTAGATTTCTTATAATAGAATTTGTAGATTCATGGATAGGTATTACGATTTACGACTCAGTATTTTAATATTTTAATATACTGTAACTAATTTAATATAACTTGCTGTAATATTCTATTTTATAAACAAAATATGTATTATCTATAATATTATGCAATAACAATAAAAAAATGTTAAGTTTCAACAAATGTGAGATACTTTGAATGTAATTTAAACTTCAAAGTATAAATAATTATTTTATTACATTTTGTACTCGCTTCAACTCTTCAAGTTATAAACAGTACCTAATTCAACATCAAGTATAATATGCATAATATTATTATGTTTTAAAAATAAACTTATTAGTATTAAGCCGTCACAAACTTTGATGAAAGTATTTGGATGCGATAAAAACGACTACGGCCAAATCAGTTCACGAAGTGTCAACATTGTAGGTCATCTGAGTACGTACTACGTACAAATAACAATACGCTTTATCCGGTACCTAAGGATTATTTATATGAAATGACTAATATTTCTAAACATATATCTACTGCGGTCACCCATCTGAGATCTCAACGTCATGTATGTTTTGGCATTTCTAACTTTGCTTTAAAATTAGTATATTGCGTTCGACTGTTTTAATATAAATATGAAATAATTATGATTTAGGAATTTCTTTAAACCAGTGGTTCTCAACCGGTGTGCCGCGAGAAATGTTATACTAGTAACTAGTAGGCTCATGGTAATAATTATTGCCTCCGGTAAAGTTGCCGAAGTTGCTGTGATTGTCAAGCGCGTGAGTGTGCCGTGAAAACTTGTGATGTATGATAATGTGCCGTAGATCAAAAAAGGTTGAGAACCACTGCTTTTCACTAAACAATGTGTTCTAGACGCTAAACGTATATTTATTAAAATATTAGTAAAATAGAACTGGATAGGGTATTATTCCGTATTATTATTTTTTACTTTACTCTCTTGTTTTCTTATTATGTTTATATTATTACTTATCTTGTTGCTATTATTGTATGCGTACCGGATAATTGAATAAATTTATGGGTTTAAAAGTTTGTATGGCTTTTCAAACTGATTAAGTTATAATATGATCAATAGCCAGAGTACAATTAAATTGTATTTTTGAACTTACAGTGTATCGTTGTTGAACACTTCGTTCAGTATAGTTGTTTTAATTCTTGTTGTTCGAACATTTTTCTTAAATGTCGGTTAATCGGAAAGATTTATCAATAAAAAAAAAAATTGATTATTCGTTTTGATAAGTCGGAAATACGTTTACAGAAAGAAGCGACTAAAAGTTTTCCCAAATAAATATTTTTTATTATTTGTGTTTTTTATTATTGTACCTAATTATAATTTCATTGTAAGTATACATATTAATAATAATAAAAAAAATATTTTATAAATAAGCGGGCTAATTAAATCAAAATGACCTGCATCAATATGATAAAAATTAAGTGGAACTCATTGTAATATACTAATATATAATCAACGAGAAATTTGTATAATCTTAAAAACGATTACGAGCAAAACTCTATCAAAATTCCTTTTTCAAAATGTCTTCAAAATTGTTTGAGTAAAGAACATTTTAGAAACTTTTTATTATTTTAAAATGTTAGCTAAACAAATATATCGCGATCAAATAAGCACATTTCTGGCTTCATAACTTAAAAATATCCTTTTAACATTCAATTTAAATACTTTTATGTGTTTTCAATAATATATTGAAGTCTCATAATTATATTCTGTGGTTGTCAAAGAAAACATTAAAATTAAAAAATAAATATAGTTTCAAATTTCAATTGAAGGGAGTTTATTAATACCTATGTATGGTTTCAACCAGAATGCATAAATACATATAATTTACTATTTTAGTTTATAAATTTTTTGTTTTGACTTTTTGCAATCGATACATTCTTTAACGTTTTTAGCGTTTTTAATAATTGTTTTTATGTTCAATGCATGTTTATAGTTAAAACTACGTAACAAGAACCAACAACCTGTTAATATTAACACAAATGACAAATTACCTGTTGAAACAATTGTGTGTGACCGTCCACAAACTATATGCTTCACCTTATCTGGTTTCAAACCTATAAAAATATTCATATTTACTTATATTCATTGTACAGACAAATGGTCCAGTTCATACTTTTAACACAATTAGGCTTGTAGACATTTTCCGTATGCCCTAGGCCCAGTTGTCCGAAACTATTTTTTCCAAAACAAAATACTCTTCCGTTTTCTAAAAAACAAGTTTTCAATCACATATTTTAATTTGACAACAAAATACTATTTGAATTTACTCTATCAATAATAATATATGTGCGTGTTTCTTTGTGTTGTTATATTTTTTAAAAATAATAATTATTAATTCATCGTTATCACGCGAACATATTTATCTTGTAGAGTAAAAAAGAAAAGGTAATCACATTTATTGATTAAAAATTTGCGTTTTTAAAACGTGGTAACTAGTAAAATAAAATAATATTTACTAACAATTTAAGACCTTTAAGTTTATATGATTTTAGATTGTATATTAAATTACTATAAATTATAATAAATTATGCATACCTTAAAAAAATAATATCGTACATCATAAAGACAATTTTAAAATTATTTTATATTTTATTAACAAAAATTTGTAAATATTATAATATTGTGTAGCAAGTACAACTATATTATAATAATTTATAATAAGCCTATATTTACTATTATATATTTTGATTATTTTACCTTAGAGCCAATTTCAACAATAAATGAATATTATGGTTTGTAAATGGTTTTTGACTGGAATATTTGAATTTTTTGGTAGAATCTTATAATTGGGAAATTTTATATTTCATACATCTATATGGGCTTAATAATATTTTGTTTGATTTGCATAGTGAGCTTAGGGTAATTGCTTGCTAGGTTATAATGAAGTAAACGTTTTCTGTTGATTATAGTGTGATTATTTTGTAGTGTACTTACATTATGTTTTGGGGACCATCCGTCAAGTATTAGGTAAATATAAGACGTTTGTTAAATGTTACTTATACTTATTTAGTGTTTTGTATATTATAAAAGGTTACATTTGAACAATTTCCATTTCTCTTAATGAAAAAATTAAAAGTTGGTTATGTGTATGGATTTGGTTTCATAAATATCAAGTGTTATTTTATAAAACAAGCGGCCAGGTTATTTAAATGTACTTATAACTTATAAGTTATCAGTGGTAATTATTGGGATCTTATGTGAGGATAACCAGCCCATAGGTAAGGAAAAGGTATTTCAGATGACCCATTAATGGAAATGGAAACTGCTTAGAAACAGTGTCATCCAAAACTAAAAAAAATTGACTCAAAGTAGGTATATATGTATATCTAAATATGTGCTAATGAAACAATTTTATAATATTAGTTAATCAAAATGTAAATGTGCTTAATGTATGGTATTGGTATGGACGGTATGGTATCGGTATGGTAGTTTTGCCAGTATAATTTTTTGTATGCCCATTGATTATATTATTATCCGTAACCATTGTTTCAACGACCACTGATTGATTTTATAATTAAGGTAATTACAACTCTCATGTGTGGTTGAATTCCGAACTAAAAAAGTGAGTAAGATATAATGGAAGGCATTCTTGTCATCATAATCTATTAGATTGTATATTATAAGTTATAATATACATTGTACTATTATATTATAGTTTGCTCTTGCGTGATTTTTAAATATGTAACAATGTATTATGTCTGGCTAAAACAATATATTTAGAATGTTTTGTTTTGAGTAATTGTATTTTATTATTATTTATTCTCTATATGTGCATATTCAACCAAGTATTTTTTCAAGAAGTCAAATTTAAAACGGCACACACGACACACCCAAAGCTTTGTATAGAAGTAGAGGTCAATACGTTGGTTATAATTCATGAGGATTCAATGGCGCTATGTAAATGCGATAATCATAACATTCGCACAGCGACGCGCAATAAATATTAATTATTCAGATATCGATTAAGAGAACCATATAATACGTACAGTATAAAATATGCACTATCCATGCAAAATGGTATATAGATAAACAAACCAAAGTGCACAAGTCGAATCCTGTTGAACAAGAAAAAACTGCATATAATATAATGGCCATGGACCATATAGACTCTAACTTCTATCATTTTAAAGTTTTAAACTTTTTTAATAACAGATCAACAAGTGTCCTAATTTCGAGTTGACCGGCCGAGTCTTCGAGTTAACAAAAATAAATATTATTTCATTCAAATGATGTGGTTGTAAGTTGCCTAATCAATGATGGTTATTATTATAATAATTTAATATAGATAGCACAATTTTATTACAGTAGTAGAATAATAGTACCTGTAACTTGCCTAGGCTCGGTCGTATGCTCAATCTGTGGCAACGCTCTGAGCGTACGTACCGGCCGACGTCCGTCGTTGCTAGTACTCGGATGGGTGACCACTCGGGATTTTAGCAACATATCCTTACCAGTTACCACACATACAACCCCCCCTCCACACACACACACACACACACACACACAGTACCAGGCTAATGACCTTAGTTGTTGAAGCCTTAATCCAAGTAAAAAAAAAAAAAAACGTAAATAATATAATAGTACCTTTTTTAATAATACTTTTTTCTTTTTCATTTTAGTCTTAACCTTTCGTGTCTTAAAGGAGTACCTAGCGAACCAAATTTGTGTGGTCTACTCCTGTGCCCTGTGCGACTTTAAATACTGTTAAAGTGATAGGTAATTATATATATTATATTATCTTTCATGTGTAACAAAAAGATTTGGGGATACTTCGTTTGGAACCCGAAATTACAAAATCTTACTGCAGACAATTCCTGAATGTTCTTCACCGCAACTGATTTCGATCACTGGATCATTTCTTATGAAAAAGTGACTAGGAATGTTGTCAGCAAAACTACTTTTGCCATACGTAAAAACAGCTCCGGTCTCTGAAATCAGATTTAAATTTCACATATTAATTTTATGACACAAAATAAATTATTAAGTTTCTTTACCCTGGATTGACATAGCATGAATAAAAAACGTACAACACCCCTAAAGAAGTATATGACATTATAACATATTATTTTAACACTTTCAGAGGTACATGTTATTGTTATAATTTTGGTGGCGTAGAAATTTGTAACTTAAACCTCAATAATTACAATACATATGATATTAGAATAGGTAAGTACATTATTGTTCATTTAAATTTGTTCATTGGTTAAGCGGTTAGGTCGAGAAACCAAAACGACATACGGTAAGTATTCGTGAAGATGTTTCCATATCGAATTTCTGTAGTACCGACCTGTTTTAATATTCTATTGTAATCATGTTTACTCTTTATTTTTCATTTATTTATTTTATTTTGTATAAAACGTTGGTCATTACATAATAATAATAATAATAATAATAATAATAATAATAATAATAATAATAATAATAATAATAATAATACGTATTCTACTGTTTCATGTTCAATGTTTTATACATTTGTATGTTATTTAATAAACAAATATTATATTTAATGAAAATATTGATTTTTAACAAAATATAGAATTACTTTCAAAGTTTAATTTATTTTATACCTACAATTATTGTTATACTCTACTTTATATGGTATACAAAATATTGATCTAATCACCTGTAATTTAAGTGAAAACGAAAACAATTCTCGTTGACTGCGATGGTGTATTTGATTATCGAAAATTTAAATCATGTAAATTAAAAAAACAAAATAACAAATGTGCAAGCAAAGCTTAAATTTCTCGATTTTTTGCTGTAAAAATAGATGTCATTTTCGCAGGCATATAAAAAAAATTGTTCTTACAAAACATTGAAATTAATTTACTTAATCATTAATAATGTATCAATATACTCAACGTCAACGAACGAACAATTACAACACAGCATTAATTATGTTTTAATTTGTATATAAGTATAAATTTATGGCATAAATAATATTACTGTTTAAAAATCCGCCACATCCAGTCACCCAAATATCTAAGCCTGGTCAGTGGTCAGTATATAATATATGTATATGTAATTCAATTATTATAGGGACATAAAATATGTGACACGTCATTAAAAAAGAGGTGAGATGGCATTCCCTTGGTCCCACTAGTCATTGCACTCGATAGTAATGAGATAGAAATGAGATCATAAATAAACAAAGTATATTTGTTATTGTTATCAATAATAATCTATCGTTGTCATCTCGTGACTCCCGGATTTTAACCAACTATTATGAAACAGGAACATAATATTTTGATCGTGACTGACGAATCAAATAAAAATTAGATCGGTCGAGTTAATGCGAATGATAATATTATGCACACATGCAGAGCTGCTGCCTTACCCGGTATCACGTCTTCTTCGGACATGTCGACGGCCCGCGATTTTCCGCACTAATATTTTCCGGAACAAAATCCGTGCGGACACGAACGAAGCGTGGTGATTTATAGGCAACCAGAAACGTACCGCACATAGTGTTTACGGTAGTTACACACGTGGTTGCCAAGCGAATGTGACTACCTACGCCTAAACATCATAACAACTATGGCACTTCCCATCATAGTCCATACCACCCCTCGGGCAACAGTTATTCGAGACGGAAATGAGCACTGATGTATATTTGTAATTCGTATACATACCAATTTATTGGAGTTTGAGTTTATATTATACAAAATATAATATGAAAACATACATCAAAAATTACAAAAAAACACTGTAGAGTGTAGATGTAATGCGTACCTATATACAAAAGTACTGTGCCTATATACATATATAATATGTGCATATAAACAGAGCAGTCCTAATGTGAAATTTACCAATTTCTTAACTCAACATTTGGGCGACCTAGCAGCAGTATAAATAATAAATGTATTTAAAATTAAATATGATATGTTAACATGATATACAATTTATGGATATACATTATACACCTACGACCTATTACCAGTTAGTGCCTGTCATAAAACACCCTTTTTGGTCGAATGAGTGAATGTACATAATATTGTGTTTCAGTGGTTCCTAACCTATTTTGGATTCGCTTCGCCATCCTGTTGGTTTTATTTTATGTGCAGCCGTGTAGGTGTAGGTACAACTGTTGTCTGTTTATTGTTCTACTGCAATACTACAAGTTATGTAAAAGCAAATGTGGGACAGTAAATGAAAAATAATAACTTTAGTTTTACACTATTAAGTTAAATCAACGTTAAGTTATAATTTAACAGTTAACAAACAATATATGTAACTCCAAAAGGCCTTAAACCATAAGGATAAGTGGATGTCGCTTCGCTGTGAATAAGATGTCTAGAAAGTCGCTGTAATGTATGCAGTATGCTATTCAATTTGAATTCAAGGACATAATATCATTGTATACGAAAAATGATTCCAAGCGGAGACCGTATGTCGGTGGCGGCGTCAGTCTAGGATATTTTATATTGTTAGTACTTATTATTCATACGGTAGCCAGAAAGTTGAATTAATGTTATTCTTAAATTATCAGTGATGCTGGAAATATATTAAATAATTTTAATAAAAAAAATTATTAATTTATTTTTTTTAAATATTTTTTTAATTGGGCTGTTTTAGAATCCAATTACAATAAAATGACTAAAATCGTTATTCTTTGTGTTAATATATATGTAATTTGTCTAAATATGAAATTTAAATATCTATAAAAAAGCTGTGCTTATGTTTATTTTTAGATTTTTGGTTTTTTTATTAACTACTTACGTAGAACCTCGTTTTAAATTATCAATCCTTAGCAATAGAAGTTGAAAATTTAATACATTTTTAACTAAAAAATCATTTTTCAATTTTCAATTATTTTAATGAAAATATCCGTCAACAGCTTAAGACAAGACAAAATATTTTGAAAATTTTATCAAGTATATGAATTGACAAAACAAACATATGGTGTAAATTTCAAACTGGCTTTGAGTAAAAATTCCCGTTTTCCTTAATTTATTGTTTGTTTTTCCTGTTGCTTTTTAAAACTATTGGGAATTTTAAATTTTGACCTCCCGAATGCACCAACTAGATTCTTTTTACTACCAAAAAAGTTGCTGTTGAAGAAAATCGAAGCACTTTTACTGCAAGAAACCGTGATGACAGAGACACAAACCTAACCTTTTTACTTTGTTTTTTCACACCTTTTTACTTTGTTTTTTCACACCTTTTTGCTAATTTTTTCACACCTATTTACTAATTTTTTAGACAAATAACGTCGACCACAGAAATACAAAATTATATTTTTTGCATCAAGCTTGTTTAGTTCAAAATTCATTCACAATAATAATATTGTTTATATAGGTTATAATAATAATGATGTACCTATTTGTGTATTAAACCGGATATCGCATAATCGTAGAACACTCAACTTATTCTTAGAAAAACCTGCGAAGGCAACTCTCGTACGCACACGCACAAGTCGGTTTAAACGGCTACTGTTTAGGATTCGTACAATTTTTCATCAAAAACTACATCATTTACTTCAATCAGTACGACTATTGTATTGATGCGATAACAATTCTAAAAATTAATTTAAATTCAGCGTGAAGTCTACTTGAGATCGGTCGGGCCACTTTTTCAGTTTTAATTAATATTATTTTTTAAACACTACTAAATGTTTAATATTTTTCAAAAAACTTAGATCAAATTTGTGGGATTTTAAGGGCAAAATTAAAATATGTAATCCGACAGATCTCAAGTAGACTTCATGACGAATTCATTTACATTTTCAGAACTCATATCGCTTCAGTACAATGATCGAACCGATTGAAGTTAAATAGGCAGTTTTTAACAGAAAAATTGGCCGGTCCCCATTTGCCTTAATAAATAAATAAATATAAAAACTAAGGGTATACTAATGGTAATCACTAATCACCATATATTATAAAGTCTCAGTTTCCCGTGGTCTCGTGAAATTCGACAAAATGAGTGGTTAGTACTAATGATAATGTCAATAATTAACCCAAGTTAATTGTCGTTTGTTAACAACTTGTTTGAATTTACTAGCTTAGCAACCAAACATCTTTTAATTAGGTACTCTAGACATTTTATAAACACTAAAGTAAACATAAGCAACTCGTCCTAAAAATAAATAAGTCACTGCTTAATTAAAACTGTGTTAGTTGTTGGTAAAAATAACATTTCTAACATATATTACAGCAGAATATATTAATATTAGAAGGTTTCTTGAAATTAATAACAATGTCATCTAGAGAAGCATCAATAGATGAACAAATACACGAAACACAGGAAGAAGATAGTATTTTATCTTTCTATCCGGCAGAAAACGATGGGGAAGATATCGATGATCTTAATTATTCAGAAGTAAAAAATTATTGTTATTCCCAAAATTTGTCTTGAGATTAACTATATGTTTTATATAAAGTTATCAGTAAATGAGTTTATCACATTAACAGCAATACTACTGCGGACGTATTTGAGTTATTAAAAAGGTACAATTTTGATGACTGATTGACTTAACGCTTTCTAGACTATCTTCATACCTAAAACATTAAATTATAATTTGACACAATATGAAAATATATTTTAAATACATTTAATATAAAATAAAAAAATTAACTCTCAAAGTTATTGATCACTTTTCAATTCAATGAAATACATATTACATACTTATAAATATATACCTAAAAAGTATACATAGTTGGTCGTTACCTATAGGCTATATATAAAAAACAAAATATTAAATGGTGTTGATGATTATTGAGCTAATTAAATAAATTATAAATACAGGAAAATATTATTAAGTATGAGAACACGTACAGAATGGATTCGAAAAGACCATTCGACGAACTCTTAGCCAAAGTAGTATTAAAAACCGAAATTGAAAACCATTTCAATGACGAAACGAAGTACGACCAAGACGAAGCAATACAAACCTGTATTAATATTTCACTCAACGTAAGAAATAAAATTCGGGAAATGGATTTTGATAGGTAAAAATATTTGATATTTTAAACTATAGCTTTCATAGCCAGAATAAAAAATAACAGAAAAGTTAATTTAGTTAATTTTGGTACACAGTACACACTTAAATAATTATTTTTTAATTGTAATAAGTAACTATGGTGTTTACTTGATTTGTTTGTTCAATGAAGCATCCGATTCCGATAAAAATATATCAGGTTTTCTACTTTCTAACATTAAATTGGAAATTTTAAATACATAAATATAAAGTGGTTGAAGTTGAGTTGATTATATATACTACCTACTAATATAGCATATTATTATTAAAATGATGCATTTTTAACGAATAACAGTTTTTAAAATTATCCAAATGAAAAAGTGACGAACCAAAAAGGTAATATTGTTGCCATGGCAATAACAAGATTTGGAAAAATTGTGGTTACGCCGTTGGAAGTTAATTAAAATACATTCTAGATAGTTATTCTAGATAGTTATTGCACATCATTGGGTATTGTGATCAATGATCATAATATTATATACTAATAAAAAAATAATCCAATCTTTCAACATTTTTCTAAAAAACTAGAGTATATTCCCAATTATACAGTTAAATCTGTAACTTATCTGCCACGGACATGTGATATATAACTACAATAATGAATGACAAAACATTTTAAAGTACCTTCATAAGTGGCCTATACACAGATAATTGTTTTAAAATGAATGTACTCGTAAACAAATTATACTATTTTAAAATTTGTAATTTTTTAAATGTCAGTCTTAATTCTGAACTATAACATGTTCCGAACCATTTTCAAGTTAAAATTTTAATAACTGATATTATTCCGGTTCAAGATGGCTATACTAACTTAGGCGTGATTACAATATTTGTATTTTTTAAATCGTTATACCTATCACCTATATACTAAACATTTCAAATCGATATATTTTGACCTGAGAATGTCAGGAAACGCACTTTCAAAAAAAAAAAATGAATCCATTTATTGTTCACTTTCTCGTATTTTTATTTCAGGTATAAAATAGTTTGTGTTGTCGGAATTGTGGAAAAGAAAAGCCAAGGAGTGTTATCAGAAGTAAAATTTTTACGTGACATAAACAGAGATAAATATGTCAAAACCAAGTTTGAAAATAATAATTTAGTTGCTACGATTGTCGTAGGTGCATTTTATCATGAATAAATTCTACAAAAAGTTGTTATTTGGTCAGAGAACGTATAATGAACGAGACTTGAATAAAAAAAATGATTATTACATGAAATATTGAATATTTTTATTCAATAAGTATTAAACGTATAATTTAGATGGGTGGATTAGTGGGCCCCAACTTTTGCGAAGAGCCCCTTGCCATTTTACTCAAAATTTACGATTTAGTATTCAAAATTTAACGTCTGAACTGTAAAATCTCAAAAATATAATACACAACTTATTATTAAATTAAAAATAAAGGTTGTGTTAAAAAAAAAACTAAAACCAAATATCATAAATCATTGTAATTTTTACAATTTAACATTATTATTCTAGTGTTTAAAATATACTTTAACTAGGCAGGTAATAGGTACATATCAATATTTTTCTACATTACGAAAATTGACCAGGAAAAATTGTGAAAAAAGTCGAAATGGTTAATTTCGTATAAGTATAATCCTGCAGTGGCGCCGATCACGTAGGACGTAGGTACTACAGGTAGTTCAATTAAATTACTTAAAAAATTCTGTAGTTGTTGAGTACCTATACACTGCCTAGTCTTTCTGCTGTAATTTTCTTAAACACATTAATTTCATACAATTATTTATGTTCCTATAATTAGTTGAGGCCGTTTAACAATCGTTTGATGAGGTGGAAAATTGAAAGGCATGTGCGAGTGGGTGGGTTTATCAAATTATTTGAACTGTCAGTTTTAATTTCATTTTGCGCCACTGGTATAACCTATTATGATAAAATTAATTTATTGTTGTAGTGGCTTTAAATGTATCAAAGAAAGTAATATTACTATGTAATTATTAATTAAGTACAAAGGTTTCTAAGTAAAAATAATATTGACTGTATAAAATTGGTGAATTCAATGAAGATCGAGTTGATGATGAAATGAGGCACTTCCTCAGTTCTTCATATACCTATAGGGCTCGAAGAAAAACGTTATACTGAATTAAATTGAAGTCTTAATTTTTGAATATGTTCTTAAAGATTCTAGGATGTTATAAAAAATAATTAAAGTTAAGATTTTCTTAGAAAAATGTATTAAAATAACTTTTATCTGTTAAAAATTATAAACTTTAAGAACTGAAGTATTAATTATAATATTTTTAATATTTAGTCTTATTTTATATTAAATACAAGTCAATTATTTCGTTTTAATAAAGTCAGTTAAGTAAAAAAAAAGTACGTGTATGCTCATACTGCTTTTCACCCCAGGAAACATAATATCAGTGCCCTAACTTGAATATCAGTATCTACCGGTTTATACATTTTAAAGTGTTTAAATGTGCAATGCAGTAAGTTCATACGTCTTATTGCAGTCGACAGAAACAATTATTTAACTATTCTTAATTTAGTAATTTATTTTGTTATTGTGCAGATACGAATGAAAAAATGATTCAGAAAAAGTAATTTCCCTCAAAACTATTACATCGTCCATCACAGACTTTCGGCAGTCCTATTTCTGTATAAATTTAGGCCTCAGCCCTGTATAAACCAACAGATGTCTCATTGAAATATTGTTCAATTTTCAATGACTTAGCGTGACTTCGTCTGTGCGAGGAAACGTAATGATGCTTGTTAGGTTTTAAATTTGGCTCGTCCTAAAGAAAAATGTGAAATGTAAAATATTGTTCTGACTCCAGAGACTACGAGTCGTTGAGTACCTACGTTATATTAATAGGGTGATACGGCGTCTACGTTTGTCCCCACCTATGACAAACGGAAAATGTAGAAAAAACCCTAATACATATTTCCATCCACAACAGATTTTTGGATAATAATTGTTAATAGAATGTGATATCGGTAATTATCAAATCAAATTGATAGAACGCATTACGTGTCAGTGTTTTAGTTATAGGTATTTTTAAATTTTAAATCTCGTTCGTTTTTATTTTTAATGTTTATGATTATTATTTTTCTCGTTTACAGAAAAGTCTTCGACTTATAAAGTTATAAGTTATAGTTATAAGTTATAACTATGTCATTACCTATATGATATTGAATTTCAGTATAAAAAATAGGTGGTTATAATTATGATTTATTTATAATTTTCTTTTAGCTTATAATATATTATCATCGATAAGACAAAATTCAAGTAAATAAATATTCAACATAATATATTATGGCCGTGCATAATACCAACTATTTAATTTTCATACACATTCCAATTATAAAAATTGATTATTAATTTATAATAATTTATCTATAATATTATGATGTGTTATTATATGACCTTTAGGTTGTTGAACCTAAAATAATTAAAATTCCAAATCATATTATTATATAATTACCTAAATAATATTGATTTGAAATTGTAAACTTTAAATTGGTGCTTGAATGTGGTGTATCTTTACTATTTAATCTTCAACTTAATACTGATCATTTGATCCTTATAGCTTATACAAACGTACTAAAGGCTTAATCATTACAATAGTCCTATCTTCTATTCCGTATTTTTTTCCACGTCTGCTGGAATTTTTAAATCCTATACCTACTTAATAAAAAATAAATCAATACAACATATATCATTATGATATGATAAATAAATAATTAATCTATTTAATTTTTAAACATAACAGATTAAATAATATCTGAAAATAATATAAATTGTATAACATAGTTTTATAATATTCAGATTGTTAGTCTAATTTTTTTATAGGTGTGACTAGATTCTACACTCAACAATTTTTTTAATAAATTGCGTATAATAATAACAATAATAATAATAATAATAAAAATAATAATAATAATAATTTACGTTTGTTATTACGAAAATTAAACTATTATATATTAGTCACAGTAGGTGCACAATAATAAATTAATATTGTCAATAACAATTTATATAAATATATACAGATGAAAGTATAAAAATGTTAAATGATTTAAATAATACACATTTCCTTTCTAACATTTCTGTCTTACTTTTAAAATTTAAATACAATAATTGAATAGTTTATTTATTTATTTATTTAGTTCACATTTAGTTTTCGGTCATAACCATGTGCATCAAGCGCTTGAAACTCCCACTTTGATGGATTTCATCAGTGGAAACGTAATTGGCCTATACAAACAAAACACGGTTAAATCAATTTACTCGTCTGTAAAAAATAAATTATTAAGGCTTACATTTGGGTGTGGCGCAGTTGGATGAGGTTGTGGAGATACACGCTACAGAGCAAAAAAAATAAAATCATTATAATTATTATTAACACTTTGTAAATAATTTTAAATAATTATAAAACTAAATTATGATTATTAGTTCTAACAGAAGATAATAAATCATCAACTGAATATTTTTATTTAAACATAGTTTTCAAATTTTGGTCGAAAAATACTTTTTATGATAAGTGTTTTTCTAAAATATGTTCCGTTATTTATATTAAAAATTGATGTTTACACTTAATTAATATAATCGTAAGTAATTTAGCTTAATAAAAAAAGTCCTAACTTAATACTGTTAAAATAACTGAAAACAGTTTATTTTTATTATAGGTAATCAAATACAATATGTTTATCATTCAATATCAAAATTTTATTGCATTTTTAAATAAACATGTTTAATGAAAAATCATATACATTTTTGGGCAATTAAAAAAAAATAATTTTAAGCAGTGAAGATGATAAGAGTATAAGACTTTTATAATCAAAATTAAAATAATTTACAAGTAGGTACCTCTAACTATTAATTTAATCATGATTTATTTCTAAAAAAATATATCGTGAAAACGTATATAGTTAGATTATTAGGTTTTGGTGTTGTAGAAAAATATTCAGTAGGTAGGTACAAATGTAATAACTAGTACCAACAACTAGTTTGAAATAATTAATAAATAATATGTACTTACTCCTGGATTTGGATGATAGGGAGCTGACAACTTCTGAAATAGAAAATCATCATATTTTTTATTTATTATTATTAATTACCTATGTAATTATTTATTTATAGCGATGAACAAAAAATAACAATATTCACTTAGATATGAAATATGAAATAAAATGTCTAATAGCTGAATACTTACATTATGATTTGGATGGCCATGGCCGTTGCTAATCGGAGCTTTCTATGACACGATAAAAAAAAATGTATTAAAGAGTGCAAATTATTAGAAAACAATAAAAGGTAAGACGATCAGACTTACTTTTACCGTTCCTTGGACAGGCGTGAATACTTTCGGTTGCACTGGCTTCGATATCTCTTGAGCGTGGAAGTCTCCGTGTTCTGATTCTTGGATCGCCTTATACGTTTCAGATTTTGCTGGATCGTACTGCACAGTCTTCTTGTGCCTAAATGTCGGGGTCAGAAAAGGGGGGAAAGTTCCGAGGGGGAAGGTGTTAGTAAAGAAATGTGTGAAGAAGAATAATATAGTTTAAGTCAAAAGAAAAAGAAAAACAGAAGAAATGTTAGATTTTTTTCATTACAATTGTGTTAGTCAGTATTCATATAGAAAGGTATGTGCAGGATTAATAGCGGAATTTACTAGGATGGATGGTTGTGTTTGAGTTTGGTTTTGTGTTCCAGGAAGGATAGGTCAATGAAAATACTGAGATTAGATATGCAGTACGAGTTCTTTGGTCATAAAATAAGCAAAGTCATTAGTCCGACTACCATATGCCGTGTTTAGAAAGAGACCACTAAGACACTAAACATAATAATTATCAAAAAGCATTTTTGATTATTTCCTTTGGTTTCTATATTATAGATATGAATTGGTTTCTATATTATTATCAATATGCAAAGAATAGCGCCTCTATAAGTTCGTTTAAACCTAAGTTTACCAGTTTAACTTAGTATTGAACTAAGTTACATGCCGCTAATAACATTCCCTTGCCAAAATGCATTTTTATCTCACACATGCTTCATGCATCTATTTACCTCAAACGACCGTACTTCTCTTCTTCCTCTTCCCTAAACATTAGTTTACACAATTAAATGGATGAACTTTGGTCGTTAACTTTGACTATATATAACTACTGACCAACCGAACGCTTTGGTTTCGAACAGTATATTATACGAAATGTTTGTTACGGTCAATTTAGGTCAGACGGAACAAAAATAGAGACACTGGGCGGATAAAATTCACTGGGCCAGTTCTCTAGTGCGGTGTATTAATAGACGTAGACTGTACGCGTATAATGTGTAAACAAAACTCTTCGCGAATACATTTTTTTCGAAATTTTTGATCGATTGCTGTGGCAACGTTCAAGGTCAAAGATATTAGTCACTAATTCACTATCTAGATCGTTGCCAACATGAGTAATTATAATACTATAATATTGTAGCGAAAATCTACTTTTATCTCAAACCTAATGAAATAAGTACATAATAATTTTTAAAAAACTTACGGAGTATATCCTGTTTGCGATTTGATTGAATGAGCGATGTTTTCCTCGGAATAAAGACCGATTGGCGAGTTAAACTGTTTGTGCACCACCTAAAAAAAATTATTCTAAGTTAGCTCTAAAACCAAAGTTTTATTAACGAGACACACAAGTCGACAAGCAAAATCCCCAAAGCCCATATTTTTAGGCAGAAACCCACGCGACTGACACAATAAAAAAACTCAATTAATTTTTAATCGTCTTTGTCATAATAATAAAAAAATATCGTATACCTATTACCTATAATATTATCACAAAGCAGATATAATTTATTTTGGACGAACACGTCTATGTACACTTAAATCAGGACGACACAGATAAGTCATTATATATAATATATATATTGTATCGGATCCCTAACCTGTCTACCGGGTCTTGACTTAGCTTCCTCGCTGCTTATCCGTTGCAACACCGTGTCCGTGACCTATCAATTATGTATATATAATATATATATATATAGGATCGTAACAATCCCGTGACCCTATGTTCTTTAGACTCAACAGTGGACTTAACGCTTACCTTTTGTTTCATCAGCGTGTCCATGGGTTGATCGTGGTGTGACGGATGCGCTCTCATCATCGGGTTTGGATGGTGGCGTAAGTATGACTCGGTCTTGGGCGGGTCCCTCTTGACCTTGGCTCCGGGCAACACCAACGGGTTCGTTCTGTATGGCTAAAAGTGTGATAAAACATATTACTATTAAAAAGACACCACCGAAGGGGAAGATTAGCGAGGCAAGATTTTTTAACGTTATGATAATGTATCGATATCGTATATTTCCAAACAATTTTGTGGACGCTTCAGCGACATAATGCTAGGTTACATAGACCAATCGATCGTTAACTCAGAGGCAATACATTGTAAAACAAACGGTAAGTATCGATACCGATGCTATAAAAACAACTTCCGACACTTACCCACAGCAGAGCGTTTTCGGGCTCGTAAACATTTTGTTCCGGGTCAATGTGAGACATCATCATTATGACAGTTTGTTATTTATTTATTTTTTAAAAAGAGAAATTAATTATATTATATACTATAATATACGTGTAGGTATAGGTTTATTCACAGTAACACTCGGATAAGAACTTGGGTTGTATTATGATATTGTTGGTTGCTTTCGGTTTCAACGGTTTCCCTTCGACTGCGAGCTTCGTCTTGGTCAGTGTGTACCAGTTAACATATAGTGTGGGAATCGCCCACGCGGTTTGGCAGACTCCGCGGGGTACTTACGAGGGTCTTCTAAAATTAACAACCGGACGTTTTTCCATGGGCTAGGAGAAGACTGTATTATTATGCACGAGCGATTTTAATTTGATACTATACAAATTTTCACGACATTCCTCGAAATTTGTATTTATTATCAATTCCGAGGACGGGCGTTGATATAATTATTCTCATGTCGAGCGGCGATAATAATAATTATATTATATAGTTATTTTTAACGGGATTACTATTTATTACTCGATCCGCAGACCCTGACGGCCTGACACGTATTTAACGATTTTTATAATCAAAAATAATGATGCATGGTTGGTCATTTTTCTAATTCCATAGGTATCTAATGTTGATAACTGCAGGTAAGAGTGTGACTTATACGAAAGGAATATTATGTGGATACCCTCACTGATGCTGTATATAATAATATGGATAATATTTTATATAAACTTGGTATAAAAAGTAATACTATGATATGTCGAATTGATCTAGATGTATTCATATTTTATACAAATAAAGCAGTATACGTATAAATCTAAGATTTCTCAAATTCTATATTAAAGATTTTACAAATTTGAGTAGGTACTTTCTACATCTTTAAAATATCAATTATTATGACTAAAAATACTAAATATTATCATTCCAAAACTGAAATAAGGTATTTACTTTATTCGTTAGTTAACGATCGTAAAATATGACACCACGATTAATTGCACTTCATTTTTGTAGATATTCATACAGTTTTTATTATTTAAAATAAATAAGTAAATTAAGAAATATTTTACATTCATAGGTACTTATTATATTTGTATAAATTATCATCATAATTTATAATGATTTCCTTGATTTAGTATAAACATGCTATACGTTAATTTGTATTAAATTGTAGTAAATCATTTAGGTATTAAATTACAATATCATTCAGGTGTTGTTAATGATAATCAAATAATCATACAACACTCTGGGGTTTAAAGTTTTCTATTTGGCTAAATTTCCAATTTAATCAAATTTGTTTGATTCTTTTTTCTATATTTATATAGAAGGTATTCTAGTCTAGGTACTTAAACATTTTAGATTAGTCAGAGACCTTATCGCGGAAAGGGGTTTAAAAATAACCCTGTGTGTTTTTGGTTCATATCCAAAATAATAAATTCAACAAAATAAATTTCATCATAATTATTCATTTAATATTTTGTTTTGCGACACAGAACATGTTGTTCCATTGGACTATTTAGCCCAAGGCTCGAAAGAACATATTATAATACATTCGTATGTAACTCATCACATCCCTTCCAAATTTAAAAATATTGGTCTTGGAAAGTTGAACTATATATGACTCAGCCGTCCCTTGAGATTGTCGGACCACCAGCGAGTGGAGTCACGATTATGAAACACTCGCTACACAATGCGTTCAGACTACGATTTTTATTTCCGTTTTGCTTATCTTCGAAAAGTGGGGAAATCTCGATCTCGAAGAAACGTCAAAAGTGAGTATTCATAAGCATACAAAGACATAGGTGTTATTGTGTAGATCATCCACATAATTAAAGTGTACGTATTTTTGAGAAATTTCAATAACCAACTGTATAACTACAACCAGCGTGCAAGTATAATATCATTATTTTTTACTGATTTGAATTGAAAACACTAATCGCGTATAAAACAGTTGACGGTATATTATAATAACATAACATAGTTGCACTACCTATTACAATATCAAAACATACAGTAAATGATAGGATTAGCCAAGAAGCCCTTGATTGTGCTTCATTACCTACTGTTGAGATTTTGTTCATTTTTAAAAAATATATTATATTCACGCTGACACAATCTATTGCGAACATCGTCGTTAAGTTTACCCCGTGGTTAATCCTAAGATAGTTTTATTGAATGATGACAAATGACTTGGTAGACTAAATTATTGATGACGTAACGTATCACAGAACTTTAGTTCGTTGCCAATTATTTCAATTGTGTTTAAATCGTTATACAACTCGCCAATATTTGTCAGCAGCCAGTAGGTCACATTATAATATATTGTCAATAATAGTTCCATGCCGACAACTGTGTTGTGAATTGTGATGCACCGCATGCATATAATAATTTTGTCAAATGACAATACTGATTTGGATCATAATAAAAAAAACTCTAAGTAATACATTTAAATTGTACATGAAAAAGTACAGGTTTTGATTAAAATATCATGACGATTAAATATACAAAAGGTTTATTATTAAGTTTATAGAAAATAAAACTAAAAAGTTATTTTTAGATGTGTGCTAACTGCTTAAACGACCTTTAGCTCAGTACGTGCCAAAATAAAATTACAAATTCTTATAATGAAGTATATTTTTTAAGCTCCACTGCTATAGTTTATTCATATTTTGTTTAATGACTAAAAAATATTTATTACCATTGTTATTTCAAAATATCTTTAATGTTGAATACCAACCATGAAGTAAAGTGATTATAAATTATGTAAGACTAAAGACATTTTTTTCGTCGCTACCTAACATTAACATAACTCATAAACTTAAAAAATCCCAAAATTTTTACAAATTTATTAAATCTTAAAACCAGACCACGACAAATTAGTGAATTTAATTTGATGTTTGTATTTAGGTATTTTGACCATCGACACAAGAAAAATTATTCTCCAATTTTATTTTTACGCTTTTTAACTACACCAGAACGTTCAAAACAATACATATCCAAATGGAAAATTAAACCTACCTGCTCATAAATCGTTATTATTATTTGATATTAAAAAAACCCAAAAATTGTATAAGTTATAACAAATGTAGGTATTACAGCCTACAGGTAAAAACGTAAAATGGTAAATGTATGTTTATGATATTCTTTGTTTGCATCACAAAATGGTTTAAACCAACATCAGAATGCACAATAAATTAGGAAATAATTTTACTGTTTACCTCTACTGGCTCTACTTACACTTTAATAATTTAGGTACGTGTTCAATATTCAGCTGTTGTTTATTTTACAGGGTAATTGAACTCCGAAGCCATTGCCTGGCTTGTAAAAATTATTCCTCGATCAAAATGGTCAAATTAAAAATGCAAAATTAAAAACAAAAACTTAATCATATTTCGGGATGACTGTATGTCGTAGACGTCATTTTCACATGACCGAAGATAATTAGATCCGTTAATATATTGTACTGATGCTGCACGTGAGTAAATTATAAACATAATTTGTTATTCCTGATATCTGATATGTCAAGTTTTAACATGAGGTAAGCATGAGTGCGTATTATATACAGCGTGATCATACTCATTATATCAAAAAGTAGGTATATGAATGCTTTTTGAATTTTTTTTCACATAATTTTAATTCATCACAAACAACATTTTTGAAAAAAATTATTTTATTATTTAATACTTTTAAGTTTATACTTTTTTTTATAGGTATTTATAACTAACTACACGTTAAAATTTAAAAATTGCTTTGAATATTTTTCCAACAATTATGTTTAGTGACGACTTCAGATTGTTTAAAAAAATTCCCAAAAACATAACCCAGTAAATAACGAGAAAATGAGTGTTTAACTAACCTTTAAAAAATCACCTTGAATAAGTGTATATATATATTATATATCATAAAATGTTTTGATGACGAGGAGAACGCGTAATGTTATGGAACGTGAAATTGTCCCAATTGCCGGGCTATTTCTGTACTGTACACCCTCCCCCCTGACAAAACTTACTATTATGTTATTAAACGGTTTTCGTGAATTTGTTTTTTACAATTTTTAATTTTTTACCTTGGAACATGTTTTCATCACTCTAAAATAACTTTCGACATTCGCGGTACGTCAAATATGTATGGTTTTTTTACGGTGTTTACACAGTCTTCCTCTCATTCTCACTTCATCTATCTGTCTCTCTTTCACTCATTCGCAATAATTTAAAGTATTAAATTTATTTTTGAGCTGAGCTGCTGCAGCAGGATGTGCCTTGTAGCATGTTATTTCATTGCTTATATTTATGATATTATATGTACAACTATAGACTATAATAATATTATCATACACTTATTAATTGGAACTCTAAAAATTGTAGGCTGAAGCAGGGCCAATAATTTATCTGATGCTACCAAATAAAATTCGAAATTTTATAATATATAGGATATAAGACAAATAATAATATAATGTGTTTTATACTTTTATCTTTTATATAAGTTCATAAAGTTGAATAAGTTGGAAACTTTACATTTAAATTTGATTAAGATTCATATAACATTATCAGAAAAATTATCTGAATAATTTAAAGTAAAACAAGATATCTAGATCTTGTTTAAAAAACAGAAGTTTGTGCTACACAGGTCCAGCACACTTCGTAACTGATAACAAAAACTCAAGTATTCAAAAAATTGGTATTCAAGTACATTTAAACAATTCATATTTTGAATTACGACATTAATGAAGAAAAAGGTGGTGAGCATGGTTGGTAAATCACCTTTTATAATAGCACTATTAATTAGTGATTCATTAATGTGTTATATGCGATAACGGTTCAGAAGGATAGATCATAGCCAATAGGGGGGTCGCCATAACAGTACTTTTAAGTTTTAGGTATATAAATCGAACTTGAGATCATTAAAAAACGTATACTCATACTCGTAACAATAACCTAATCCATATGTCTAAAAAGTGAAAAATATTCTACTCGGGGGGATCGTCAGCGGATTATAGGTTCAACAAGTTTGAGTTAGTAGTAAACGCTTCCGTGCAGAGGCACATTATACATTTAAAATATTTAATTTATAAGGATACATGTAATATAATTATAATAAAAATGATATAACTAACTTAAACTAGGGCCGCCTGTCTATTCTATTTCTCTGTATTATCATATATTCAGTACCTAGGTAATGTATACATATCGACTTAATAATAAGGTACCTTGGTACCTAGTTATTACCTATATATTGCTATAGTAAATAGTAATACCTATTCCATCACGAGAAGAAAACTATGAAATACCTATATACATTTTTATAAGACAATTAATTTTCTCTCATGCACATCCTAATCCTGAACAAAGACCTCCCCCCCCCACACACACACACACACATAAGCTTTGGGAACTTGAGTACTCGCAAAACTGCCCATTCATATCACCACTGCTGCAGGATTATACAATTCGATCTACACATTGTGCGAGATAGTATTTAGTACCTGGTTAGGTTAATAATAAAATAATAATATATATTTCTACTCGGCAGCATAGAACATCGCTCTCACCTGTTGGTCAAGCGCCACCTGGTCATGTGCTTCGTCCCAGTCGTACGGAGACGGACTGTCGACCAGTGACGGGGGGAAACGGCAGAAATTGTTGACGGGTGACTGGACGGACCGCTCGTAACCGTAAAGACCGTTTCCGATTGGTCGCGCGGTAGCGTGCTGCTGCTGATTGAGTTGATGGTTATTGGATACTGGAATTGGGCTGCTGTTGCTGCTGCTGCCGTTGAACTGAGGAGCATCCCTGCGATATGATATAATTATAATAATAATCATAATATACATTTTAATTTAATTATGACAAGTACTAAACGTGCTTGGTAAAGATAAAATACAAAATAATATAATGGATCGGGTAGACACAGCCGTGAAAAATATCAGCCTAATTCATGATATTTTTTAGGTACCAATCATTAGTTTATACTAGAGAGCGTTAGGCTTAATTTAGCTTAATCTTAGGCTCTGTAGTTTATACTATCTATTACATAGATATAAATACGGTGATAATAGATGAAGTCAATATCAGCCATTTTTGTGGGAATTATAGGTTTTATGTCACAGAATCTTGTGGCTAGTCTACGCTGTTGATAATATCAAACAAATTTATTGTTATATAATTAATAATTATATATAAATATCATAGTAACTGTACCTATATCTCAACCTATATCTCGCTCTTTAACAAACATAAAATACAGCACTAAATCGGGGTGACGGGGTACCAATCTCGGTTTTAGTGTACCTCAGTTCACGGGAAAATCAGCTTCGGTGTATCTCGCTTTGTGAACTAATTTGATTTATATTAGATATATCACTTAGTATATTAATGGACAAAGTTAAACTTTTCTGATATCTCTGAAAGTTCACTTGAAATCGGTCGAGTATTTTTTGAGTCTATAAGCTACAAACATGAGGACATTGCATTGACGCATTGTATTGTATATTTAAATAACAAACAGCAAATTAAATATTTTTTTCTTTTATTTAAAAAAAATGCAATAATAACATAGATCGCTGCTAGTCTATACTATTTTTTTAAAAATTGTATGTGTGTAACCAATAGCAATCCTGTATATAAACAAAAAAATTAGTCGATTTTTGTGAGCTGAAACAAAATTCATGTGTGAGAGCGGCAATATACCAACCTATTTGAGATTAGCACGTTCAAACATATACTACAAACAACTTTATACATTTATAATATTAGTATAAATTTATATAAATGTAATTTACCTATTTTACCTAACCTACCCATTTGTAATTTCAGATAATGCTTTGATTCCCACAAAGATGGCGACAAATGACAGCTTAATTTATTTAAATAGTAAACAATTAGCATACATAACCATTGGCAATCTAATCTAGTTTATTATCTATATTAGCGGTGATTATCTATAAATAGCTAGTTATGTATCTATGTATAGTACCTTTGGATGACTAGAGTTATTGACTGGTCGGCGTTGCCGAACAAATTTTGAGCGTCCAAATGTCTCAAGTCTCGAGCGTCGTACACTTCGATTTTCCGTACGATGTCGCCCACTCTCAGGCTACTTTCACTGGGTGATCTGGCGTAGACCTAAATTATTCACAAAAAACGGACACATAACAATAAAATGACTAAATTGTTCAAAAAAATGTATTTATTTGTCCGACTTTTATACCGTAATCGTATAATGATTGTAAACCGTACATGGCCGCGGCGATATATTCGCCGAAACCAGAAGACACCATCAAAATATTCGTTTGCTCTAATATATAATATACTGATTATACGTAATATGACTAAAGTTCGACACTTGTGGACTTACACTACACAGTTCCGTTGTATACAATGGCTGTATGAGTTAAGTAAACTAAAGTTTAACGTTTCAGAACACCACGTAGATATAGGGACCTTGCATGTACCTAATATTATGACCAAATATATTGCACCTATATTGAATTAAAATTGTATTGCAGCCCATATGTTCGTGTGCTTTGTACTGGCTGCTCCCTGAAGTTGTTGTCGTTCAACAGACACGCAAGACGCAAACATTGTACGGCTACCGAGACATTTACGATTTACCTAACCTATATATTAACTGTACTCATGTGCATTTAAAACGAGGTAGTGCACGTGCAGCAATTAACGGCAAAGCGCGGTAAACTGGACGAGCTAACGGGTCTATATAGGTAGTATAATAAAGTTTAATAATTATACCCACAAACTACGTTGTATTATACATAATATTTGTACTACATTATAATATAAACATAGGTAAATCTACGTAGTTTACTGTAGTAACATAATACTATGCGGTATAATATATGTACCTATATAATATGACCCATATTGGTATGTATATTGTATAGGATTGTTTTTGACCAATGTCATAACTCATAAGCATTGCATACAACTCATTAATATAATATTATGTTTACGAGCTTACCGTTATCATAATAAATATATATAGGAAACTACATGCCATCAGTAGGTATATCTATATTATTAATAACGAGTTTGAAGTGTGTAGGGTCCACTCGAAACTTCGAGCTTCGATGAATATAAAAATAAAAAATAATATAAATCATATACTAAATCGTATATGATTTAGTAAATATAGCTTATAGATGAATTATGAAGGAAATCTTAAGTCAATGTGATTACTTATTAAAGTAAATATACTTCTTATTAATAAGGGGCAATGAGTATTGTGTGTGTGAGAAGCTCTTTTTGCCATCTTTCCTGACTCGGCATTGCAGTGATAATAGAGATGCAATATAGACAGCAAAGATCGATTAACGAGTAAAAAATTTAAATATGTATTATTATCTTTTCAACAGTAAGTTGTTTGTAACTTGACACAACACTATACGAGACCAATGACAATGACATTATAAAGTCTAAGCCAAAATGTCTACTACGTATGCACTTTAAAACAAATAAACATAGGTAGGTGCATTGTACCTGCTGTAAAATAATTCGCTAAAAAAACAAACAGAGCCATGCTCTTACCAACTCCTTCCCACATACATGTCAATGTTCTACGAGGTACAATTAAATTTAATTGCGCACAATCAAAATCAGACATCATTTTTTTTTTTGTAATACACTTTTAACTGCAAATTTAAATATCATTATGAATAGGTATCAAAAATTAATTTTGTACAATATATTAACGCAATGATAACGTCATAAAATCTTTGTACATGTTCCCATTTCGACGATTAAACTAATGACATCAGCCTAAAATCATTAAAGCTCACATATGTATTTTTAAATGGTTGAATTTTGGCAAGTATAGGCATCTTCTGTTACGAAGTATTAAAAATAAGACGACTGAAAATTCTGAAGTTACAAAATTTGGCTCAAATACATTAAACGTTTTAATTTGTCTTTTTGCATTCAGTGCCTAGGTTTAAAAAATACATGATGTAAAATGATAACAAAATATTTTATTTTATATATTTTAGTATACATCTTATATTGGCTACTTATAACACCTATATGTGTGTATAGAATAAAAAAAAGTAAATGTAAACGTGTACCTAAAACTGTTTAACCTTTAACATAATAAATTATACAAGGTGATTCGTTTAAAGATAAACATTCATTTTTTTCTGAAAGTATTGACGTTTTTGGAAATATTCTTTTATACATAATTTGAAGTCATTACAAAACAACAATTTATATTTTTACAATATTTTTTTTTATCCGTGTCGTTTTTTAAGTTTATCTTTTTTTATGACATCATACTCACATTTTTGGAATTTAATAATTACTTCAAATTATGTAAAAAAGAATAATTCCGAAGACGTTAATACTTTTCTAAAAGATAAAAGTTTTAAAGGACCTTTTCCCTATGAATTATAACACATAGCTTATGGATAAGGAAACTTAGCCTATTGCCTAAATATTGTAAAGTATAGGCAGGGCGTATTTTCAACTTTTTTCTGGAGGAGGGGGGACATTTTTTTTAATTCTAACATTTTATATGTATTGAAAATTATTATTTATTTATTGTTATACTTAACGTCCTTTGTATGAACATCATCTAAAAACGTATCGGAATTCTATTCTAAGAAAATAAATGTTATCGATGATTAAATCTGTAACAATAATAACAATCGAAAGATTTGAGTGTACGGCGTACGCCCTTTGTACGAAGTGTCTTTAAAAATGACCTTATATTTTTACAAATATTATAACAATTTTGGATCTATGCAAAATGATCGATAAGTACAAGTCCAGTGCCGGCGCCAGGGGGAGGCCTCTCAATTTGTCTTGGCCACCCCTTGGCCACCTTGACCGCCTAACCACAAGAGAAAAAAAATTCTGTACATTTATAATAAAGTACACATTTTTAATGTAAGTTTGTTGAAAATGACATCTAAAGTTTAAGTATGTATATATTAAATAATACACCTATACCTTTATGATATTTATTATCAATTATAAAATGAATATCAATAATTATGTGAAAACTTAGTATATGCAACACAATCTTTACAATAAATAGTGTGTAAGCCCTCTACCCTATACTGAGCATATGAATGGGAAAAATACTTCGAATTGGGACTTTTTTTTGACCCAACCAAATTTTCAAAGGCCACCAATGCCCCCCCCCCAAGATAAAATTCCTGGCGCCGACACTGTTCAAGTCGTTTCATAAAATTTTTAAGAGTTTGATTTCGTCATAAGTTTTGAAAATATTGGTGGAAAGTAATCATACATACCTACAAACTTGGGGTCATTTTGGTTTTTTTGCAGGGAGGGTGCAAAATATAATAAATATTTTTTATATATTGTCTTAAAGCATACATAGTGGTTATAAAGGGAAGTGATACCTTTCCACCTCTCAAACCATTAACCAATGATATTATTCTATATAGGTACTCGTAAACACTATATTATATCAATGTTTTGGTGACTTTGTATCATTACTGATACTGAAAATACGATAGCTGTCAGACACTCATAAGACTAGAGTACACAACCTTATCCTAACGAGGAATAAAACCCAAACTGGACAGTAAGAAATCGTGCTGCTATATGTGCAGTCAGAATAAACAAAAAATGAACCATAATCGATTTACAGCACGCCAATATTAGGTACTAAACATCAATCGTCAATCTTTAAATTACACCTTCCTCAGAATATTATAAATCAATCATATTCAACGTCCGAGAAGGTCTCTGATCGCTATGATTTACAAGTAGCCTTAAGGTAAACGCATTAACCCTGAAACGATGGCACATTAGGAAGGTCTATCTATAAATAATATACTTTACGACATACTTTGGTTATGATCAGCGGCGTGTTAAGATCCGCTCCACCGGCCAATCGGATGCCCCACGGTTGAGACTTGCCGTCTCTCTTGAGCGTCACGGACCACGTGCTCGGTTTCTTCGAACCCATGACGATTGCACCGGTCACCACGTCCTATGGCTGATCGTAGCTAGTCACTATAATATAGTGCAACTGCTGTAGGTACAACACGTATATAAAAGTAAACCAAACGTTATTATATTATATTAATGATTATATAAACGATTTATAGGACGCGCGCGATATTTATGTGACGTCGTATTATAGGTAAAGGTACATTATATTTATTGAATATAACAATAATTCATAATAATATATTGTAATGATGAAATATTATGGAGTGCTGCTGCGGGTGGTGCAGCGTGTATTATGGCGACGTTTTGTGAATACAATATTCACGTGTGTGTGTGTGCCTGTTTGCTTGCAGCTGTGCAGTGTGTACACTTCCGCCGAGTCCAGAACATATAATAATATAATATATATTTGACGCGTAGGTACATAGTTATAGGTACGCTACAGGTACCACCGACGAACGTTTAGGTATAATATATAATGATATGTACGTCATTGTTTTACGAGCCGTATGTAGACCGAAATGTATATATATATATATGGTGATGATGATAATAATATTTTATTTATTACATAGACGCCGAAAAATATCAAACGCGAAACGCGAACGTGTATATTACATGGTAAACATTGTTAGTTAGGTATATAACACCGTGATGTATATACAGAGTGATTCTATAATACCCGGACTGCGATGCCAAAAACCTTCGACTTTTCACGACATTTTACGATTAAAAAATTTTGAGAATTTGATGCTCTCTCTCACAATCCCGAAATGCCGAAATCATAATATTTTAATATAATTTGTAAGTATCTATAATATTATGTTCGATTTTTTACACGCCCTTATAGTGTTATGACGGATACCTTTCCAAATCGACAAAGACGGAAGACCCATATAGTATATGCTATGAGGCGGGTTACTTGTCTAAACTTTAGACTCTAAAGTTTGAAGTTATAAAGTTGTTCGTTTAAAACTCTGTAAAAAGTTGTTACGATATATGCCCACTGCAGGGTTATGGCAGTAAGAGACAGTAATAAACAACAATAATAAGTGATGTCAATATCAGTAGTTAAAAATTAAAATGTTTGTACTAAAGACTATAATAGTCCTTAAAAATGGTTTTACAAACATATAAAATATATTTAGTACTGGATCTACGAGGTAATAATTAGTAGTAATTATACTTTTACCATTTTTAATATTAATAACTAAAATATTAAAATCATTATAGCGTCTATAGCCCTTATGTCTTCAAAACCCATTATAATGGAACTTTTATCTTTAGTACAAAAAGTTAAATGACTCAAAAACTGCTCATTCGAATTCTGATTCTAATACGTCTACTCTTTCAGAAAAATTATCTTCTAAATAATTAACAATAGAGAGGGAGTTATCATTTGAAAACAGAAGTTTAGAAGTACAAAAAATCTGAAAAATGCAATTATATAATATGATGACTAATTTATTGTAGTAGGTATATATTTAAAAGTTCCAAAAATAAAATGTCGAGTTACTGTATTGTTGAAGAAAACAAAGGGGGTGAGCCGGTGAATCCTCCTGTGTAATGTACATACAATTTTAACTCTCATCAATTTTAGACAATTTCACTTTCCGCTTAATATAATTCGCTTTTTCAAACACAATAATTGGTCAGCACGAATGGCGCGTATTCGGCCAATTTATGGAGCAGGGACTCGAGCGTCCCAGTGTCAATAATAATAATAATAATAATAATAATAATAATGTGTAATAATATAATATGTTATGATGTGCGGCAGCAGTGGTCGTACCTATAAAATATCGCTGTCGCGCGTGCGTGTGATATGTATCTCTCTCTATATATATATATATAGTATGGCGCGTGGGCGGTCGATCTGCAGCGGCTGCCGTGAGGAAGCTGCGCGGCGACGGTCCGGATGTGGAGGACGAGCAACCGGAAATGGCGGCCGCAATCGATCACGACAACGATAGGCAGTGATATATTATGTAGGTATACGACGGGCACAGTTCGCGGTATTACGGTGTATGTCTATAAGCCGACGACGTTATTACGGCGATACGTCGTCTTCGTCGTCGTACAATGGACCGGCACAATAAATTCACTGCGAATGATGGACGGGCTCGCGAACTACGAGACTATCGCGGGTCGTGAGCAACTGCGGTCTCGGGACACGTGCCAAAATACATAATAATATGCATAATAATGTAATGGACGAGAGTCGCGTGCGGAAAAAAATAACAAACCAAACGTCGTAAGAGATATTTGAAATGCGCGCGCCCGTGTGTATACGCAATGCCGTCGAGTCATAATCGCGAACGGTTTTCATTATTGTTGTTATTATTATTATTATTATTATTATTATTATGACGGCCGCGTCCGGGTCTGCGTTTTGTAATCGATTTTATTGCTGTTACTTTTCTTTTATTTATTTGTTTTTTTTTTTTATCCTCCGCCGGATCCCACTCGGGAGACGAGAATAGCTGGAAATGGCCGAGTGATGTGCGTGATACATGCGTATAAATGTGTAATATTAAATGCATTCATAATAATTATATTGTGCGAGACGTTCCGCCGTTTATTAGTTATGCTTAAGACCAACTACACTAATAAAATTAATCCCGAGTCAAATTTTGTACGCATGATATTGCATTTAAAATAGGGTTTAATTTATGTGAAACATTTTGGTAACCTAGCACTGCAGCGTAATACCCATCTATATTATAATATACTTATGAAAAAAAAAATTCGGCCTCGGAAAACTATTTTGCCGGCACTCAAATAATTTGTTTTGTCCTGAATAAATTTAGTTATTTTTTCACGGCATAAATGCTCACCTAGCTATTAGGTAATTCGAAGTTTTATAGAACTTGTTGCACTCAAATAAGTAGAATTACCAAACGAAAAATTCATATTTTGCACTTCACAAAAACAGAATATACCTAATAATAAATTTGAAAAATGTGCCTATATAACTTTTTTATAGTTTTTTATTTAATAAACCACTTTAATTTTTAACAATGTCAATAATGTTTTGAACAATTATTTTTCTCTACAGCCATAAATGGAAATGTCTCTAATTATTTTCTATGTGAACAGCCCACTACCAGCCTGTACGATTCACTGTTTAGTCGCCACTGCACTTATGTGTAGAAACATAAATAATTGACCGAACATTTTTGAAATTCTTAAAGTATGTACTTATATCCTCGTACCTACCTATTTCCTAATTGGTATGAATTTATACACTCGGATTTCGATATTTATAATAGGTACGTATATAACCTATTTATTGGCTTTTATGTAGGTACTAGACAATCGCTACAAGTCTACATAGACCAGTTGTTGGTCTTAGACCTTGGTCACTCAACCACTAACCGCGATGTGCTTAAAATAAGCACCACTGTAAAATTACATTTCTAAATATTAATATTTAATATTATAATATCACGAATAATATCTGTCTTATTGTTTAACTTTGAGGACGGTCGGAAACAACGAAGATATAAATATATTATAATTACAAAGCACGAAATCTTAACTTACGTTTAGAAATCTAAAACCATGTTTTTAAAATTTCAGTGAATCGTGCCAAGTGTCAAGGGATATCTACCTCACGAAATGTTTAGTCCACTGATACTCCACTTGTCGTTTTAAATTCTAAAATAAATATTGCCTGGTGCCTATAATATTCAATAGGGAGGTATTTTTTAAAAAGTGTTCTGCGCTTCTGCTTCAGATCATACAACTATAAATATATATATATAGTATGTACTTAAATAATTTACCTACCTTTCAACTTTATACTTTTTTGAATGATATACCACATAATAAAATAATAACCATTTAAAATCCATGCATTTATTCGCAATGTGATAACAACAAGACATTCAAACTAAAAATCCATAAAATATCACACATTTTGTTATAAATACAAATGAATTTATATTTTTAAAAACTCACAAGTACCTCACACCTTGCTACTCGTCTTTCACTACTATGCACCTATATGTACCTATCCACAAACTAAAATATAGAGTTATTCAGTTAAATCCCTGCAGCGTCCAACCTTAATCCTAATTTATAACTGAGATAGAGTTCTATTACAGTTTATACTAGTAGTACCTACCTAATAAACCTACTTGAATTTTGTTGGCCACCCATCCATAAGTCATAACATTGTAGAAATTTAGAGTGATATAATATTAATATAGGCATACTATTATACTAACCTATATTTACCTAATATTATACGCAGAGCCTCAGACTATTCTATTACCTAAAGGTACTTATTAGCTATTATAAACCTATTTTTTAAGTAGAAGGATAAATATTAGAAAAAAATTATTAAAGATCCCAAATTTTCACAATTTACTTGAGTAAGTATGTACCTATCTACCTACTATTCTATAATATATCTACCATTCTTGACAAACATAATAATAATACCCATATATCTACTTAGTTTTGTAGTCCTATTATCCAACTAAGTACACCTTAACCATATTATAATAATGTTATGTCCTTACCAATCGTATTTAAGAGAATTCTACCCACGCGTCTGTTGTCTCCGTCTTACCAACTTACAACATAGCAATTTTCGTTCGCTAGTTTGAATAGTGTGCCGTTAGTTTAGATATTAGAGTAAATTCAAGTATTATCAAACTTTTAGGTCAGAACATTATCCATGCTTAAGCGTCGGCGGATTTTCGATATTTTCATTTTCAAGCAAGATACGAGTATGTGGAATAATACAAATCAAAAATGCTCATATCTCGCTTGAAAATTAAAATATCTAAAAATCCGCTGACGCTTAAGCATAGACAATGTTGTTACCTAAAACTTTGATAATAAGTCAATTTACTCTAATATCAAAATTCAACATAGAACATTTTAAGTTCAATTAAATCAACTTTGTGTTGTAAGCTTTAATATTAGACTCAATTGACCTATTATTAAACACAATGTTAGAACCTATAAAGTTAGGAATATTATCTGTGTTCTTACGTTGACATATTTACGAAATTTCAATTTTTATCCAAGTTACCTTAAGTAAAATATTACAATTGAAAAACGCTCATATCTCAATTTAAAATTTAAAAATCTTAAAAAAAACAGCATAGAAATAAGTACAGATAATGTTCTTAACTTTAAATTTCATTATAGATCAATTCACTATAATAGTAAAACCAACAACATAAGATTGTTTTTCTTCACGAAAATTATCTCTTTGCGCACAAAGAAAGATAAAATAAATAGTGCGTGCTTACGCAGTTACGCTTAAGGCTTAACAATACCTTGCTCATGAAAGACCGGTGCTTTGTATTTTAGTTGCCTTAATTAAAGTACCTACTTTAAAATTAGTCTTTCTTATAAGTTTAAAAACATTTATCAGACAGTCGAATTAATTTTTTATTAGTGTTTGAAGTTAAAATGTTTAAGACATTAGATATTCACGATATTTTTCATCGAACTATTTTCGTATTTTGTTGTAATTCAAAAACTAATAAGCATAGATTATGTTCACCAAATATTTATATAATTTTCCATACATGACATTTCTTCAAAATATTTTGTCTCTTTTTATTGAGTTGATTACAGACATT